TTTTGAACACAGCCTTCACTTTCCTCCCTCCCATGCCTTGGGTCCCAGTTGCACTCCACTTCAGAGACAACCTACCCACCCTGAAGGCTTAGCTCAAACGCCACCTCCTACAGAAAGCCTTTGTTCTACTTCTACTGAAGTAGAAGCGATGCATCTCACGATGCTTCCACACTTCGGGTGCACTGTCTGAGTGCGCGCCCGCCTTCTCCCCTACTAGACCTCAGGGTTTGTGCCTCCTTCACCTCTGTCTCCCCAGCACCTAGTCCGTGCTCAGTAGATGTTCTCCGAAGGCGGCCACGAGATGCCTGGAGCCCAAACCTTGTTGGTCCAAGAGAGCGACAGTCACATCACAATCCAAACTTGAGTTAGGAGAGCATCTTTTCTGAGGCACGTTGTCCCAGAGCCTGGCGCTGGGCCCCCCGTGCAGACTAGAGGCAACGGTAGAGAACCCACGAGCAAGACTACCAGAAAGCATTATTTAAATAAGGAAAGTGATGTTTGAAATTTCAAAACGCATTGACGTGGTCATTCTAGGAAAAATCAGAACCATGTTGGACTTCCTCTTATTTTATAGTTTATAATTGTTCTTAGTTTAAATTACATATTGTAGGGCCTGGAGAGTGGGGCTGTTCATAATCTCTTAATTGCTTCTGCCTCTAACGAGTTTCAGACTGCCCTCCTGAGACCTTCTAGCATCCCTCCGGCACCTGGAAACTCTCACCTCGGGGCGGGGTGGGGGAACAGTGGAGATTCTATTCTTCCTCAGTTCTGCCAATTTAAGGCATGATTTCAGAGAAATCTCTAAGCCATTGTGTGTCTTGCTTCCTGCAAAAGGAAGGTGGAAAGAATAACCATTTAGCACCTCATGACTGGTGAGAAATAGCTGGCGGTTAATGAATCAATGCAGAGGGCTCTTCAGACACTGTTTTCATTACTAATGCCCCGTTTTCAACTGGTGAGAGCAGAAGGCCCCGGGGTTGGCAGAGGAAGGCATTTCAATATCCCAGTGGGGAAACCAACTCTGACTGGTCCCTCTCCAGTGGGGGACTCCTGTGGGAGGAGTGTACCGCCCGACGCAGGCCCTCCCGCTTCCCCAGGGTTTCAGTGCAGCATTTGAAGCAATGATGTTCATCCAGCTCCAACCCTGCATCCTTTGCATTTGAATTATCCAGTTCCACTGGAGTACTCGGTTGATACCAATAACCCATTTGCCCTCTTCTTCTCTTTTGGAGTTACCCCAGAACAAATGTCTTTTCATTTTAAAAATAGTTTATTTTATTATTATTTTGAATACATGCTGAGCACCCTTATAAATTTCTTTTGTCTAACAGATGTTAGTATGATTATGTTCCGTTATATGATTGGAGATATAATTTGTTTCTGTGACTTCAGAAGCATGGTTATGCCTGGTCACTCCAAAGAAGACCCACCAAGTTTAGAAGTCCACTTTAAAACGTCACTACAATGTATTGCAAAACCCATTTATTTAATAATCATTTATTAAGTGCCCAACTAAGAGCTCTGGGGATGGGGAGGATCATAAATGCATATAAAATATGGTCCCTCTCCTCAAGGAGCTGACTGTAGGATTGTTACCCCACTTTGGAGTCTAACAATAATCGCTGTGTTTTGCTCAACACTTCACGCTGTTGCTGTTTTACTTATTTCAAAATTCAGGACTACAGGCAGTCCTGAAACAGAGGTACACATTCCCTGATGTTGCCCCAACATATCATCCCTCTGGCAACGTCTGGAAAGCCCAAGGCCTGGAGCTGCGAAGAACAGGTCCATCCCTCTCCTTCCTAGCAAACGTCATCTAACAGCGCAGCAGTGACTGTTCCTCTGAAGCCCTGGGGAGCTACTAACCCACCGCTTCTCTTCCGCAGCTTCCTCTGACCTTTAGATTTGCCCAGCAAACTACAGCACTTAAGCTCTTTCTTATTCATTACTTTAGTTGATTCTTGTAACAACCCTTTAAGGCATTAAGATGAAGTGTGTTAACCCCACATTACAGATGAAAACACTGAGGCCCAGAGATGTTCAGTCACCTGCCAAAGGGTCACCCAGCAGTAAGTGGGAGCCTAAGACTCCAGGCCTTTGGAGATCTCTAATGTTGCCTGAACGCACCCCGAGCCTGACAAGTCAGGGGTGCTCAGTCCTTCACAGTGACCAACGGCACAAAGTTGATCTGATCATTTCCACAGCTATGCTTTTGCCCTCTGTCATGATATAAGCAGAAAGCTTTAAGTTTGGACAGCATTTTCCAGAAGTAACTTTTAATGTCTTATCTTCTTGACTTTGCTTTCAACTCAATCTCTGATCTGTTTCTAACTTTGGACATAGGGTTTCTGAACTTGCATAAGCAGATGAGGGAAGCCACCTGCTTCATGGTAGATATCTCACTATTTACATAACAAAATGAGACAGACAGAGCTGTCTGGGACACCATTTTTCTCAAAGGTCAGACTCCGCTTGATTTGTTAACAACCAAAAACCTGAACTCAAATGTCATCCACTAAAAAAAGAGTTTTTCCCAGGGAAAGAGCAAGTGGGGTCCTGGCGTCTAAGATAGTCAAGGACCTTCAGACATAAAAGAAGACTATTTGGGAGCTAAAAGTAAAGTTAAGAAGCAATGGATGTACTTGACAATTTTGGAGCTTTCCCAATTAAAAAATAAATGAAAGAAATGGATTGCTAGCCTTATTCTTTCTATGGTCCTCTTAAGCTGAAACAGTAATTTAAATTGTAAAATGTCAAAGTCAATTATATTAACTACCTATTACTACAAGTTTACCGGAAAGACACAGCTCCCATAAACACAGTTGCCTGGAAGGGATCCGTGAAATAACCCACTGCTATGAACAAGTTTATCTAGTATTCTGCATCTGTAGGGTCTAGCCCGCGTAACATCCCACTGACATCACCAAGTCAATCAGCGAAATTAAACCCATTTTATTCACAGGTGTATGTTTTTGTGCCATTCTATGTAGGTGGTTAAAAAAAAGAAAGATGTTCAGTAGAACCCCACGCAAAATCAAAACTGAAAGAAAATCAGTTGCTATTTTAGCATTACAATAAGGAAATGAAAATATAAGGAAGAAATTTTCATTAGCACAGCTCCTTGGTGAGTAGGTATTAAAATATATTTGGATGCAAGACACTCCACTGGGTAGCTCCACATCATAAAAGGTGTGAGTTATAGCTGCATTTCCTGCTGGTTTTCTGCTTCTCAGTTTCTACCCCTTAAAAGTTCATGAAGATAAATCTGGAAATATTTGAAAAGTGTCACATTTGGAAATTATTCAGTGTCTTACCATCTTACACTCTCTTTTCCCTGGGGTGAACTGCTTCTCCTGCCCCTCACTACCAAGCGCATGTGTGTAATCACAGAATCTTAGTTTCTCAAGAGGTATTCGCTGCTTCTATTTACTCCCCACCTTAAGCCAGAATCCTTTGTCACAGGACAATCATTTCCACAGCAACCAAGTGTGATGTCACAACTGAGGGGAGGAGGACTGTTCACAAAGAAAAGAGAAGGCTATGTTTTCTTCAGTATACAGTTTGAGTCTTAAAACCATCGCTTCACTAACTAAAATATTTTAGTGGAAAAACCCCACGACAAAGCTGCATTACTTCAAGGTCTCAGCTGTGACACAGAGCGTTTCCGCAGAAGTTTAAGGGTTGTACATTGTGGGTTTCAGAAGGCGTAGAGATTTTTATTTCATTTCATTCTAATTCTGTACCACTGATAAGTGCCAGTAAAATACATTAAACATATCCCAGAAAGACTTGATTCAGTAGATGAAAAATGTGTCTCCTGAGACCAGAGAAGGTACATTTTCTGTCTTACTATCATTTCCATAATAGGAACAATGTTTACATTTCCTCAGCCAGGGCAGAGCCTCTAATGTATTCATGTTCTTTCATTCTCCAGAGGCAGGAACTGAGGTATTTGAGATTTTATTTTTTAGCTACTGCATCAAGCACTTAAGATCTGACAACTGTGGTGTGTTGTCTCACTTGGTATTAAAAAAATAAAAGCTTCAGTGTTTGCATTTGATTAGAGTCTCTCAGCTTGGTGGCTGATTAAGCAGGAACGGGGAGAGCAACGTTCTTCAGGAGCACAGCATCTTGGTTAATGCGGTGTAAGATTATTGACGGCTATAGTCACGTAATTTTTATTAAATTGAAGAGATTAGCTCTGCTGAAGAACCTCACCGTGACAGCAAAGTCTAGCCGTAATGATGAGACCTGACACTTCTCAAACCCACTACAGGGCCCCAAATGCTCTCTTTTTCTTATTATTCTTTCAGTTCAAGTAAGGGAACCACTTCACTCAAATATTCAATGTATTTACCTGAAATTGAGTGTGCGTGGGGTTTGGTTTTTTTTTATTTTTTTTGGAGAAGTGATGCAAAGTCAGCATAAACATTGTAATCTCTGAGCCTTAACTATTCTCTTTCACTGTAAGTGATACACAGCCTTTCCCCAGCTGCCTGAAATGCTAACATAGCTTTTCTCCAAGTGAAGGCCATGGTACTCACAAAGAAGTCACCCGAGAAGAAGACCCTGGAAGCCTGGAGTGTCGCAAGATTTGTTCATTTAACACGTGTGAAATTGTTGCCTCTTCCCCCAGACTCAAAATGTCTCCCAATTTTAAGGGGGGAAGACTGACAAAAAGATGAAGAGGGAAAGAGGGGTACATTTTGGAAAGGGGAAAGCTGCTATATTCCAAAGAGTGAAGCAAAGTAGAAAGAGCACCACGTACTAGAAAGAGGGAAAAGCATTTTCCAGCACACAAAGAAGGCAACAACATGCTTGGGGGTGGGGTGGGGAGGATTAATTAGCTAATGTTTGGCAAGCTGTGCCTCGATGACAAGTTCTGTAGAGGTGCTACTGTCACTTATTACTGTTATTAATTAACAGGGTGAATGCCAAACAAAAAATAAGCCACGCGGTGTGCTTTCATTTCTCAACACCATGTGCGGTATCTTTTGCAGGAGTGATTCGGGAAAGTTACCTCAAAGGCCATGACCAGCTCGTCCCTGTCACCCTCCTGGCCATTGCGGTCATTCTGGCTTTCGTCATGGGGGCCGTCTTCTCGGGCATCATCGTCTACTGCGTCTGCGATCACCGGCGCAAAGACGTGGCCTCCGTGCAGCGCAAGGAGAAGGAGCTCAGCCACTCGCGCCGCGGCTCCATGAGCAGCGTCACCAAGCTCAGCGGCCTCTTTGGGGACACCCAGTCCAAAGACCCGAAGCCGGAAGCCATCCTCACGCCACTCATGCACAATGGCAAGCTCGCCACTCCCAGCAACACGGCCAAGATGCTCATCAAGGCCGACCAGCACCACCTGGACCTGGCCGCCCTGCCCACCCCAGAGTCCACCCCAACGCTGCAGCACAAGCGCAAGCCCAGCCGCGGCAGCCGCGAGTGGGAAAGGAACCAGAACCTCATCAACGCCTGCACCAAGGACATGCCCCCCATGGGCTCCCCGGTGATCCCCACGGACCTGCCCCTGCGGGCCTCCCCCAGCCACATCCCCAGCGTCGTGGTGCTGCCGATCACGCAGCAGGGCTACCAGCATGAGTACGTGGACCAGCCCAAAATGAGCGAGGTGGCCCAGATGGCGCTGGAGGACCAGGCGGCCACCCTGGAGTATAAGACCATCAAGGAACATCTCAGCAGCAAGAGTCCCAACCATGGGGTGAACCTGGTAGAGAACCTGGACAGCCTGCCCCCCAAAGTCCCCCAGCGGGAGGCCTCCCTGGGCCCTCCCGGAGCCTCCCTGTCTCAGAACGGCCTGAGCAAGCGCCTGGAGATGCACCACTCCTCGTCCTACGGGCTTGACTATAAGAGGAGCTACCCCACGAACTCGCTCACGAGAAGCCACCAGGCCGCCACGCTCAAAAGAAACAATACTAACTCCTCCAATTCTTCCCATCTCTCCAGAAACCAGAGCTTTGGCCGGGGAGACAACCCGCCCCCCGCCCCGCAGAGGGTGGACTCCATCCAGGTGCACAGCTCCCAGCCCTCGGGCCAGGCCGTGACTGTTTCGAGGCAGCCCAGCCTCAACGCCTACAACTCACTGACGAGGGCGGGGCTGAAGCGCACACCCTCCCTAAAGCCGGACGTGCCCCCCAAACCCTCCTTTGCCCCCCTTTCCACATCCATGAAGCCCAATGATGCGTGTACATAATCCCAGGGGGAGGGGTCAGGTGTCGAACCAGCAGGAAAGGCGAGGCGCCCGCTCAGCTCGGCGAGGTTCTCGGCTGCTGAGTACCCACCCGACCAGGACGGCCGCGGCGGCGCCCGGGACGCTGGGTCCTCCCCTGCGACGCTGGCGGGGGGGCCTCTGGAGAATTGGGCCATGCGGTTCGGTGAAGGTTCGCGACGCGGGACTCACCTCCATCCTCTTCCTTCACTCTCCCCCACACTCCACAACAGGTCGGACTCACGAAAGACTTCAGTCAGCATCACAAACATGAGCCAAAAGCACATACCCACCCACCCCCTCCCACATGTGCGCCTGCGCGCCCGCGTGCACGCACGCATACACCACGCACGCGCACACACGTACACGTACACGTACACGTACACACACGTGAACAGCAAGTGCAACATTTTGTCCGGGACTGCACGGGGCGCCGCCCAGCGGGGCTAGCGTCCCAACCTGCAAAACACAAATACATTTTTAAAAATCATGAAACTTAAAAAGACAAAAAAAAAGAATTCATTGATAATTCTAACTCAGACTTTAACAATGGCAGAAGTTTACTATGCGCAGATACTGTGAAATGCCCACCAGTGTTACAGCTTTCTGTTATAGCAGATGAATGCCATGTTGGGCGACTATGCCATAGATTTCTGCTCCTCTCTTTTTAATGAAATAACGTGACCGTTAACGCAAGTAACTCTTTATTTATTGTTCACCCTTTTTTTTTCCTTAAGGAAAGGACTCTGCCACATACCATCCTCTGAACAGCTCTTCAGAAAGCCCCTTGACAGTTAAAACTATTTAACGTGAAATCCATTAACTGGAATAATTGAGTTTCTTTATTTTTACAATAAATTCACTGAGTAAATAAGTTGGAGCTGGAATTCTGCGCTTTGTGTTTGGACTGTCTTATCTCTAGCTAAAGGAAAACCTTAAGAGGGGAATATTTATTTCAATCTACCAGTTAATGTGCTGGTCAGGTCTCTGGCCTGTAACATGCAAAAGAGTAACTAGTTTAGAAGTCCTTCCAGATCCTAACTTCTAATGCAACCAGGAGAGGAACTTTCAGAATGGCACATCGTGTCCCATTGCTGCCAGCATGGCATTGTCAGTGGTTCCTACTTTCTGTGAAGGCACCAGCTTGTGATACGCCATCTCATTTCACCTTGCATGTGAGACAGCAAACAAAATCCACCAATGGTGTGAACTAATTAATACGCTGGCTGCTATCTTGCATAAATTAATGGTTTGATCACACAGGTTTTTCGTGGGGTTACATCTGTGAATAGCCTGTTTTCCACATGTAAATTTGTGCCTTACACCCTGAGTTGTGTACACTTGTAAACTGTCATTATGATAAACTTTTCCCCCCTTGGAAATAAATGCAGATATTTATTTAACCCTCCCTCCCTCTCCCCATCCCCACTCCAGCCCTCTGGAAGATTAGCGTCCAGCAGATGGAAGAAGAATGCAGCGGTGATGGTTATAATCCTGCAGCCTGGGAAAGCTGGGCGGCACCACACCCTCGGATTCACACTTCCTTCTAGTTGTGCCAACTGCAGCCACCCTCTGGCCATGCTGCCAAGCATGGACCCCAGTGTTGTGGGTGGCAAATCCCCTTTCTCCCTCCAGAGCTCCCTGCTCCCCTTATATTTTCAGATCATTTCAACATGGTGATACCCTCATTAGCCAGCAGAAAAGGGACTCACGTCCCAGTCCTCCTTTCTGCTGTGTCGGCTGCCTGGAGAACACCCCGTGTGAGGCTGGGCAGGAGGAGACCTGGGAGGAGTCTCCAAGCCATGTGCTCAGCACGCACGTGCAATGTACACAAAGAAATGAGAGTGGAAATAGATGCAGGCAGGCTGGTCCCTGCAGTGATTAATGAGCCACTCCAAGTACAAGGCCAACCACAATGGATGCTGCAAAAAAACCCTGACTGGGGCAAAAGGGTTTTCATTTTTGTAATTTCTTTATCCGTTTTCTTGTTATTGTTTGGAGGGGGAGGGGTGGGGCGCATGTTTTTCCCCTTGGGTTTCATTAGCTCGAGCACACACAAGGGACGTCTGTTTACTCTATCACGAACAAAAGAATTGTCAAATAGTGCAAACCAGGCGCACTGTTGTTGGTTGTTACTGTTTTTTTAAACAGCTAAACCATATTTGATGGTCTCTTTGTCTCCTTTTCATTTCTGGTTTGACCTTCTGGGTTTAGTTTTGTCTTTAAAGAAAACTTTAAAAAAAAAACAGTTTGGGATAATTTTGAATTGACTGGTGAGAAGTGGTACCTCTATAATCAGAATGAGACCTGGATGTATATAGCCAGGGCACGTGCACAGCCTTTGTTCCAAACATCCTTTGCAGTTTTGCTACTGTTTGGGATCGGTTTTTGTCATTCTTGTGTTATGTTATCGGTTTTTGTTTTGTTTTGTATTGTTTTGTTAGTAGAATCAGTGTACTCTGAAACCATGAAACTTTTCTAGAAATAGAAATATTGTTTTCTCCCTTCTATTTTCTCTAGAAATGCCGAACTTAGGAAGGTGATGGGTACATATCACCCTGCTACCTTCTTCCCCAAGCTTCACTCCCAGGGTACTGAGGTGCAGCCCCTACTCTCTCATCCCATCATTGCCTCAGCTGTTTAGCCCTGGGTCCTAACTTCCACCCCAATCCCTGCATCCCACAGCCCATCACTTGTGGTGTTAACCCTAAAATGCCCGCAAGTACTGAGCGGGTCTTCGCATTTTTTTACCTTTTTCTTTTGTTCCCCATGGCGTATGGGGGGAGGGTCCATGAACCTGAGTGTGCCTTTGCTTTCCACCCTTGCTCGACACTGGTAGATGCAACAAACTCAGATTTATATTTGTTGTAAAGTTGTAAAAATATTGTGATGTCACCAATTTTCCTTCCATCTCCACATCCCCTAACATCTGATTCACGATTTAATGTATGTTGTAAAAAAGAAAAAAAAGAGAAGAAAAAAGGGAAAAAAGACAAAAAAAAAAAAAAGGCCAGGAAAAGGCTCTTTATTACTTAAAAGTAATAAAACAAGACTGTTCTACATTCTCTTTGGTGTCCTGAATGCTTTTATTTATCTCATAATTGTTCCCTTTTTCACCTGGCCCCTTTTGGGCCAGGAGTCCACTCTTTCCTCCATCTCTATTTGGTTTCCAAAACATAAATCACAACATAGTTAGACCCACTTGTTTGCAGTCCCCACACTCTGCTCCCCAAATTATTGATGTGTTCTCCCTGCCTGCACCCAGCCTGGAGCAGAATCGGAGCAGAAGCCACCGGTAATTAAAAGGCAGAGCACGCGTTGACTCCCTCAATTCATTTTACGCATTTTCTTTTATGGGCTTGTTCATCATCAAACATTTATGGTAGGCTTGATAGTTTAAGAGATCAAGGCTAGGATTTTAGTATGTAGGGTCCACTAAAAATAGATCCTTGCACAGATGTGACTCCAGTCTTTTTACATATTAATAAAGCAGAGGGTGCCGGATTTTACTCCTTGTTAGCATTTATCTCTTGTTACCCAGAAGACACGGTCGGAGGTACATTGGGATGTGGCGCTTGATTTGTATTTTGCAGGATAGCATTATGAAATGCCTACATCAGGTTTTTCCTTTTGGAAGATTTTTAAATAATGATTTAAATAAGTCCTCAATTGGAGTATTTTACGTTTGACCTTCTGAAGTCATTTTTTCCAAGTGTTTTGGGTCAGTTTGAGTGTGGGAAGCTGCCCTTGGACCTCAACTTACACCTATAGTGGGCCCGTCACTTTTTGATAAGTCATTTCCAATTGCGTTTCTTGAATCCCACCCATAGGGTCAGGCACAAAGTGGACTACACTATAGTTTCTGCCTCCTCATGTAGCAGGAGAGGTGGGCACAGCCTCTGTAATTGCCGCTGGGAGGAGGGAACACAGTGCTGAGCAGGAGCCTCAGAAATTGGTGCACGAGGCTACATTTGAGCTGGTTCTTACGGAACGAGTTCTCTGGACAGCTAGCCCAGGCAGAGGGGATATCTTGTACACAGGCACTGAGGGTGAGGATGCCATGATTGGGAAATAGAAAGTTTTGTAGGTCTTGAGCTGGGTCTAGAAGAGAACCTGGCGGGGGTAGGACTGGGAAGGGGGAGTTGGAACCAGACCAGGAGTGGCCTGGGTACCACATGCTAAGATTTTAGCTGATGGGCAGTGGAGCGTGTTTGCAGTGTATAAAGCAGCAAGTATGTGTGTTTGTGCTTTAGAAAGCTACCTGGCAGTAGTGTGGAAAATGGATTGGTCCAGGAAGAGGCTGCTGGCTGCCAGGCAGCGTGCCAAGTGGCTGCCAAGTTGGTAGGAGCAACGCAAGTGAAAACCCCACATCCAGCTTCAGATTCTTTAGGAAACAGAACTGAATCAGCTCTGTGACCACCCCTTCTTTTGCCAGTCCAAAGAGCACCCTCTCCTTATGTGACTGGCAGGTTTGCCCTGCCCAGTTACATCTAAATGTCAAACGGTAAGAATGATCAACAGCTAGTCTGACCCTTTTGTTTTAAAAAATGGGGACGCTGTGGTCCATTGAATGAAAGGATTTGCTCTTGATCCCAAAGCTGGCAGTAGAACAGCTCTTCTGGGGACAAATTTATAGTCACTTACGTGCATTCATTCATACCTTCAGCATAATACTAGCAAGGAAGACCCGCCACTCGCTCCTCCCAAACAGCACCTCCATGTCACTGAGGCATCCTTTCTCCCACGAAGCCCTTTATACACATCTTACTCTTCCCCAGCCGGGCATCCCACATTCCCTCATCTGGGCTGACGAAAGGGTGTGGGGGTTGGAGCTCAGAACACCCTGCAGACAATCCCTGCGGTGCAACCTGATAGTCAGCATGGTGGCCTTTGCTGCAGTCAGCTTTGTTCTGGTCTGACAAAGAGGTGACAGAGGCAGAAGAGGTGCAGTCTGTATCTTACCTGGGGCCCCAGGGATGTCCAGCTCAGCCTGGAGAAGTGCCTCCAATAACCCAGCTTTGTAACTGTTGCATCTGCTTGCTTGCTTGTTACAGCGTTGCTGGTTTCTGCCAGATGTTTCAGACTGCTGGCCCTCAGGAGTGGCTGTCCCAGCACAGCCAACAGACTAGGTGTTTCATGGGGCCAGAGCTGACATCCTAGAGCTGCCTGCTTTTCTTAAATGCAACATCAAGTAAACACCAACTGGTCTCGTTGTTCAGCCTAGTAATTTGGCAGAGGCCAAACAAGATGCCTGGACTGCAGTGCCGAGGTCCGACTGCCTCAACAAAAGGTCTTTCCAAAGAAGTCATTCAGCCAGTGAAATAAAAGTGTCAGAAAGGCACCTACAATTTCAGACGCTGGTACACTTTGCCGGAGGGAAAGGGGTGAGGGGAATTTCAAAGAACCCTTTAGTAACAAAATAACATGATTAAGAGCATTATCCTTGTCCTGGCTGAAACACTGTGACAGCTGGGTGCTTGGACTCAGTAAGCCTTAGAAATCCACGTCACACACTCGTCTTAAACCCAGGTGGTGACGCGTCTTCTACAGGATCAGGAAGGAAGGGGGCACATTTATTGATCAGGATTGCCAGACAGATGGGGATCTTCAATATTCCATTTAGACTATTGTGTATCCTTATCTCTAACCCCCCTGGGATGCCTGGAGGTGGGGGCAGTTGACCTCAACAGAGGGTTAGGGCTGAACTGATGTGCATTAAATGTGACTGAGGCAGAAAAATGTGCAGATGTCCCTCTAGCAAATGGAAATGAAATCTGAGTAAATCAAGAGAGGCAGCTGAGCAGTGGGGGAGGTGGGGGGTTGCCCATCCCCCTCTGCACACACGTGCACACAAATGCTGTCACGGGCCTTTTCTTC